TGAGCGTACGCTTTTACCTATCGCGTATAAAACAAATAAATTGTACAGAATGCAAAGTAAAGTTCGAAATGAACATTAGATTACCGTTAATTATATCAGTACCGAAAATAAATATAAAATTACTTTAAAGGAAAAATAACATTGTATTTTGGGACATGTAAATTTTGAATATTCGAATGTTTTATGTAAAAATAAACTAGCGGAAGGTCTGCCAAAAGAAATTGAGAGTGACTATATGAAAGCGCTGTTTATATGGAAAATAAAATGCATAATTTACCATTTGAAAATAATAGACAAAAGGCCAAGGAAATTTTAGAAATAGTACATACTGGTCTAAATGGGCCTCATAATACTACTGGATTAAATGGAAAAAATATTTTTTAACTTTTATTGGCGACTATAGCAAAACAGTCAGAGTATATCGAATTAAATCAAAAGATCACGTCTATAATTGTTTTGTGTCATATATGAATGAAGTTGAAAATATTACTGGAAAAAGAATAAAAAAAATTAAGGTGTGATAATGGTAAGGAATATATGAATAAAAGAATTTTTGATCTAGTGAATGAAAAAGCAATAAGTCTAGATGCATGTCTACCGTATGTGCACGAATTAAATGGTACTGCCAAAAGATATAATAGGAGCATTATGGATATTGCTAGATGTTTTTTGTCTGAAGCTTGAATTGAAAGTAGATTTTGGCCAGAAGTTGTATGCGCGGCAGCATATTTAAAGAACAGGACACTTGCAAATACTGCTGATTTAAAAACTCCTTTTAAGTTGTTCTTTGGTATGAAACCTAATGTTAAACATTTAAAAATGTATAGAAGTAGGGTATTTGTACCTGTGCCTGAACAAAGAAAGCGGTCAAAATGGGATAGAAAAGCAGATTTAGGAGTTCTTGTAGGTTATGAAAATGTAGGATATCGAATTTTGATTAATAATAGAGTTACCGTAGGAAAACATGTAGATGTCACTGAAGAAGATGAATATTGTATTGGATTAAGGGATAATGATGATGATGAATCAAAAAATGAAAATGAAATTGTTGATGACAAATCTGAGTCAATAGACGAATTTGAAGATGCTGAGTATAAAAATGACAATGATATTATTGAAAGAGAAAATGATTGTCAAAATCAAGAAGAGAATAATGTTAACAGTAGACCAAAAAGAAATGTAAAGCGTCCAGAAAGATATGATAATGACTATGTACATAATACGATTTATGTTAATTATTGTAGTGCAGAAAATCCTAAAAGTTTTGATAAAGCTGTAGGAAGTTTTGAATCTGATGATTGGAAAAATGCGATGAAAAAAGAAATTGAGTGTTTAAATAAGAATAAGACTTGGGTATTGATGGATAAGCCAAAAGATAAGAAAGTTTTAGATGTGAAATGGGTTTACTAAAAAAAGGATAAAAACAAATTTACAGCTAGGTTAGTAGTAAGAGGGTTTTAACAAAAAGAACTTATTGAAGATATTTATTCTCCTGTAGCTAAGATGCAAACTTTGAAAATTCTGTTATCGTATTGCTGCCAAGAAGGCTTAACCATTGATCAAATGGATGTTGAAACTGCATTTTGAAATGGAAAAGTGAGATCAGAGGTACATGTGAAACAACCGCAAGGTTTTGACAATAATTCTAATAAAGTATGTAAATTGCAAAAAGCATTGTATGGTTTTAGAGAAAGTCCTAGAGCTTGGTTTGAATGTTTTGATGAATTGATAAAAAAATTAGGATTTGAAAATAGTAAAGTAGACAATTGTTTATATTCTTTGAGCAATGGAAAAGATAAAGCTTACATTATTTTATTCGTTGATGATCTATTAATTTGTTGTAAAAGTTGAAAGACTATTGATGTGATTAAGGGAAAATTGTCAAAAAGAGTATGTTGCTTTGTCAGAGGCTGTAAGTGAATCAAAGTTGATAAAAAGATTTGGTAGACATTTTTAAGTTAAAGTTGACTGGACCGATAAAAATTTATGAAGATAATTCAGGAGCCTTAAACATTGCAAAATTGGTAAATTTTACAAAAAATTCGAAATATATTAAGGTGCATTATTATTATATTCATGAAAGTTACTTAAAAGGAATTATTGCTATTGTAAAAGTAGAATCAGAAAGTAATATTGCAGATATTCTTACGAAATCTATTGGAAGGTTAAAATTTGAAAAATTTAGAAGTATGTTGAATTTGGTATAAATGTAAGGAAGCGTGTGGGTATATTGTACATTTATACCAACGAGTATATATATATACGTATGAGAAATAGACTCGTGGCGCCATCTCTGGCCAACTACAGTTGTAAGATATTTGCGGACGCTTGGCGCTCGAACGCGAGCGCAAGGCAGATTTCGTCTGTCCGTCAAAGCATGGTCATGCATGCAAGCAGCCTTTGGTCGTTGGCTGTGATGTGCGTCGTTCTTATAAGTATATTCTCCTTTTATTAAACATTATTAACTTTTACAAGGTGTGTTTGCTCATTTCCCGATCCACGGAATAAATCCCTCAATATATTAACAGTATGTTTACTGGTAATTTGTTGATCTACATCGGCGGCTTAGACATTAACAAAAGCATTAAAGCTATCGAAGGAAAAGTAAATGAAGTATTTTCTACGATGAAGGAAAAAACCTAATAATCTCACAAAAAAAGATATTTTGTTATTATTAATAAAAAAAATATAAAAACCAACAACTTTCTTTCTTTAGTGCAACCGTTTTGAATTTTTTAATCAAAAATTTTTATTTTACTTTTCTTATAAGCAATAACTGACAAACTAATGAAAAAATTGCTTGAAGTATATTTTTTAACTTTTATCCCTTAAAACATATAAAACAACAAATTTCAAACTCTTAAATAATTAAAAAATTTTGTAGAAAAGACGTTTTGGTATTATATACTAAACTTTCTTACTTTTCAACAGCTTATGTTATAAATAGTAGGTCTGTCATTTGTAAAATCGCAATTTTGACACCTGATTCGTAATCAACGACCCCAAAAACCCGCGATCAGTTTAGAACACTTTTTGACTTTAGTCCTCAAGTGTGAAGCCAAAGAAAGAACGAATGACGAAAAGAATTTTGCTGTAACTTATATCAACTTAACGACTGGAAGGCAAGTCGATTATAAGATAAAATGGCCAGGACACAACTCTATACAATACGATAAAAATACTGGAATCCAACTTGCCCATATGAGTCATTACGTTATCGTACATAATGCAAATCAATTATATCGAGTCTATAAGTCTCCATTCAAGTGCCAAAATAATTTTGATCTTCTTTCCGTGACGCTAAGAACCAAAAGTTTTTTCGGAGATTAACACATAAAAAAATTTGTTCTAATGGTTTTCACCAGCTATTAAATACCAGTAACACTAAAAAAAAAAAAATCCAACGTATCTTTTTGACAGAAATACCATACAAACATATATTATTGAAAAGAAAAAAAATGTCTGTAATTTATTGGTTATACTGTTATTTTATCATTTTTAAAGTACCAAAAAATATTTTTAATTGAGTGTAAAATACGCTTTTGTCATAATTCATTTTGTGGAATTCAGTAGAAATATCTGTTTTTTTGTTTCAACGCTAAAAAAGTTGAATATTTGTCAAAAATCATGCATAGTACTTTTCATTGAAATCCTATTACAAAACTTGGGATTGATCTTTTCAACAAGAGAAAAAAATTACTTCACTTGAAATTTTTAATGAGTTTTTTTAGGACAAAGAAGTGATTTCTACCTGTTCCAAATATAAATAAAAAAAAAAATTATGTTGACCTTACTATATTACGAGCGGTGAGTAATATTCTGAAATTTGACTTTGGAATTTGGTGACCGAATGTGTTAAGGGGGATTCAGCGTGATATAAGTATTACACAAATTTTTGTACCCTTAACAAAAAGTTACGTTCAACTTGTGTGTACTTATAAAATTCTTACCAAAAAATCAGTTGTCAAACGTGTATAATAAATTTTTTTAAATGAGAAATTTTTCAACATTACACTATGCATTCACCTTTTCAAAATGTGTGTATCTTTTTAAGTGTTTAGTATTGTACCACATTATGGTTTATAATTCTATTGATAGATTTTTGGAAAATCGTTTTATTTTTTGTTTAAAAATAAAATGATTTTAATTATTACCCTATCTCAAGTTATGACGTCANAAAAATAAATGAATAAAATAAATAGTTGCTAAAGACGTACTCCACGACGTCTCAAAAGACGTCATTTACATAGGTTGTTGTTTAACAAAGGGGTGTTTAAAAGCATTTGATGGCCTTGTAGGTGCTACCATCAAGATAGTAACACCAAAACAGAGGGATTCGAAAAGTTTTTGAATTTAGAAAGTTTTTTTCCTATTTGAGAAAATTTTTTTTTAATAAAAAATACTTGAACCTCTGGTTTTAGTGTTACCATCCTGATGGTAGCACCTACAAGGCCATCCAATGCTTTCAAACAGCCCTTTGTTAAACAACAACCTATGTAAATAACGTCTTTTGCGACGTCGCAAATGACGTCAATGTGATGTCATTCACGACGTCATGAATGACGTATTTTGCGATGTCTGGAATGACGTCATCATTGACGTCATAACTTGAGATAGGGATATACTTTAATTGAAATAAAAATGATAGCTCCATATATTCATAATTCTTCATTAAAATACTTTTCATTGTTAAGACTTAGTTTTTAAACAGTGATATGACAATTATTCACGGTATGTAAATTGAAACACTTAGTATTTTCGATCCCTATGAATTGAAACCGTTTCATCTAATCTGTTACTTGCAGGTATTTTTAATTTGGTTGATAGAAATTCATTTTAAATATTTTCTTTGAAACTCAGTATTTATAGGCTTATCCACTAAAGAAAGTGATATAAAAATGTCTAACTTTTCTTTTAATCAAATACTAAGCAGAAGAACTTAGTGAAAGGAAACTTCGTGCCAGCTTATTGGCAACAGATTATAAAGTATGATGACTAACCAACATAGGGGACGTACTTGATGACAATACAATGATCTGGCTTTTCTCCTGGTTCGTAAAGCAGTTTGTTTGATTGAACCATGTCATCAACAACATTACTCTTCGATATCTGCAAAAAAGGATAATACTTTTTAACTTATTTTTTCCAATCTTAGAAGTTGTATTACATATATGGTTGTATTTGTCTTATCAAAATTTTAAAAGCTTACGTTTATTGAACACAGTTATAGGATGACGTATCACACACACACACACGGGCGCGTGCACACACACACACATGCACACTATTGTAGTCGCTACCCTATCTATGAAGTATCAATATTGATTCATCATTGAAATCAACATTGATTGAATGTTAAAATCAACGTTGAATCAACGTTGACCAATGTTAAGTTTAATATTGAAATCAATGATAAAACGCAACGTTGATCAATGTTGATTTCAATGTGGACCAACGCTGATTACAACTTCGGTGTCAAAGAAAAAAAGAGAAATTTGTGAGCATGTATGTAATTACACTAATCATATTTACATCGTAAAAAACTATTATTTCTTTTAAGAGAAAAAATTATTTATGACATCGATGCTAAAGAAAATAAGATTAAATGTTATTTCTAAAAAAAAATTGTCTACAAAATTAGATAGTTAGACAAAACGTAACTGCATTTTTACATTTATATCATTAAAAATAATTTAAAAAACCTTCTTAAGAGTAACTCGTGAAACGAGTTTTAAAATTGATTTTATTGTTGTTGAATAAGAATTTGATTAGAAAAAAATAAAAGTGAAATAAATTTTACTTACTGTACTTATGAAGTTTCAAATTATTTACAACAAATGTTATTTCACTCTATTACGTAATAATTCATAAAACAATTTCCACTACTTTACAATAAATAATTAAATTAGGATAGTTTTCAACGTTGAATCAACGCTGATTGTAATCCACAGATCAACGTTCATCAACATTGATCAACGTGGCGTTTCATCATTGATTTCAGTTGAATCGACGCTGATCAATGTTGAATCAACGTTGATTTTAACATTAAACCAATGTTGATTTCAACGATGAATCAATATTGATACTTTAGATAGGGTAACCACGAATACAACTCAACCGATCTTGCAGAAATTTTGCATAGTAATTCTTTACAATGTCGAGATGGTTTAGTATAATTTTTATGTTGAAAAAATTATTAACAATAGCAGTAAATAAGCTCAAAGTTTAGTAAAAATGCGCAAGCTTTTTGCTTCAGTTCAGTAGAATCTGGTAGATGGTGTGGAAGTAAAATCAAAGCCACCTGCAATAGAATTAAGTAAACCTGATTGCTATATCCCCGAGCAAAGTACCGAATACGACAATCCATCACCGGCAGTACATGAAACATAGAGTTCGGAATCATGCAGCTAGGTATCCCAGCTACCGAAGACACTGTTCTCTAATGGACAATTGTCGCTTAAGCGACTTACGTCGATCTCCATCCCAAACCACCAAGATTAACAAGTGCCACCAATAAAAAGGTGTTCTAAATGCTAACGTCCCTGGTGAAATACCAGGAGACGCGTCTAGCCAGAGCATAATCTGCTCTAGCATTATGAGTTTTTGTGGCCATTCTTCCAACCATTCTGGGTCAACCAGAGCAGACTTTGCTATAATAGCAAGCTAGGGAAAACAACCCTGAGGTATTTGGGCATCCACAACAGCGTCCTTCTCCGTAGTCATCCCAACGGCATACCCACAGAGAAGATATTCTCTAGACCTACTTTCCCGACTAATGATGAGCGATTGGTAATTCAGGGAACGACCCAAAGACGACTTATTTTTTGGTCAGTGGCGTACCTTAGTACCTGCAGGCTGCAGCACGGTCTTCGTATTCGCTATGCGTCTATATCAGGTGGTACCGTCGAGTAAGAGAAATTTTCCCTCGCTAAGATCACCTCATAAAGCCTTACAGGAAATTTTTAAAATAAATTTAAAAAAAGGTTATTAAGAGTGGATTGACCAAATGAATCAGTGATTTGAGTGTGTATTATGTCAGTGTACAGTTATAAATTAAGTTTGGTGTCGTCATGTGTACTACGAGATGGGAAACAATAAAAACATGAATTGCGACTGTAATAACACAGTATATATGAGTGCATATACATGCTTGCACTTGTGAGAAGCTCGATAAACATAAGTACTGCTTACATTTATCTATTTCTCACTACACAGTGTTAAATAAAAGTAAATACTAATGACAGGTTAGGTTAACTTTTACACATTTATATTACGTTTCCGAGGATTACTTGTGTTCTTTAAGTTGTACACAAGTGTAAGCATGTAAATTCACCCAAATATGGTGTGTTATCACAGTCGCAATCCATATTTTTATTTTTTCCAAGCTTATAGTACACGTAATAACACTAAATAAAATTTATAACTGTACGCAAACATAATACACACTTAAACCACTGATTCATTTGATGAATTTACTCTTAATAACGTTTTTTTAAATTTATTAAAAAATTTTTCTATAAGGCTCCATACATTCTGGCGATCTTAGTTAGGGACAATTTCTCTCGCTCAACAGCGCCACCTGACATAGACACATAGCGAATACAGAAACTCTGGGGGTAAGAGTCAATCTACCCGCAGCCAGCTCTCCATCATGAATAATAATAAGGAATAGTTAAAAAATTCACCACTGCCTTTTTCAAGGCCATTATAAGTATTTATGTTCCCTATACTCAACCATCAATCTCATAGGTTCTTTTAAGGGCCAACTAAGATTAAACTATTATATCTTGCCAACAAATACATTTTTACTACTACTTCTGGCAACGATTCGTCGATTAAAAGACTGTACGAAGCCGGCCACTATTAAATCAAGTCAGTCATTCACTGGCAGACGTCTCTAGTGGAGTTGTTTCTCGTGAGACTGTGGAAACCCAAGCCACCAACGACCTTGCATTACCCTCTTGGCTCTAAACATTCAACGAGGAATTACCGATCCTCTCCGAGATCTGCGCTGGGCAAACCTAATAAGTAGCTATGAAGGAAAAATAAACTTTAGCAAACGGGACAGTCTCCAACGGGCAAGCATCCTGAACTTTTTTCCCACCTTAGATCACCATAACAACTGAGTCTGCAAAAAAAAAGGTGCTTTAGACACTAACGTCTTTGGCATAATACCAGGAGGCATTGGAAAAGAGCTCTACAACTAACCCCAACGCTTCAGACGTTGTAGTTTTCCTCCCGATGAATCTGGTGCTACAGTCACAGTCCAAAGAAGATCATTCCGAGTTATAGAGATAGTCACGTTAGCTATAGAAACTTCTGTCCAGGAAGAGGTTACTTAAGAAGCTCACCAGTCTTTTTTAGGGCCGTTGGACGTCGAACTATCTTGCCAACAAATATATTAGAACCTAACAAAGTTGATAAAAAACAGCCTTTAGGGCTCTCAAAAGTCTTAAACATGCTAAAAGTTGCAAGAGGGCAAATTGGAAGAAAAACTTCAAATGTTTTTAATGTATACAATTTTAGGCGTCAAGAAACTAATGCATAACATTTATTGAAAATAAAGCAGCATCAAAATCGACAAATAAAAAATGCATCAAGTGAGAGATCAACTTTTTATTAGAACCCTAACAGTTATCTCCTGAATCTTCCAGATTTTTAAACAGGTAAAATATATGTATTTGTATTTTTGTGGTGATACAAATGTAGAAATAGAGCTCCAGGACTTTGTTGATCTAGTAATGACGTTGTGAAATAAGGAAAATAANAAGCTTCAATTGGTTAGGAATCACCTAAATGCAGTAAAATTTATATGTGATAAAATACTAACTATTTGTTGCAGCATGCATATATCAAAACTAAATAGTAGAAATGATAATTTTATTTCACAAAATTTTTGTATGTATTATTTTTTCAAATTGCTTTAATTATTGACATCATTTTTTATCATTTAAGACATATATATATATAATGAGTTTTAAATCTTCACAGCTGAAAAAATAGCTATTTTTGTACGTAACACAGCCCTTTAGGGCCAACGATCATTTCATGGCATAAGGAACGCACGGTACTTTTTGGTATGATTATATTTTTTTCACTTCTTACACCTTATTATTTGACAAAATAAACTGTATAGGTTCCAAACAAATATAACTTAAATTAGAAGTTTTTTGTTCTGAGAAGTGTCAGGAATAGATGAAAATTTTTCAACTGATAGTTTCACGTTACATCTTAATACACTACGGTCTTCTTCTACTTAGTGAGTCTCGGGCGAAGCTGAGACGGAAGAGCCACTAGTATGTATGCGTGTGTGTGTGTGTGCAGCACATAGAGTCTGCATAAGTCACCTTTCCTATATATATTAAATGCTTCTATCAAAGTGCGATAAAAGGCTAGAGCAGCATAATAAATAATGAAAAAATTATAAATAGATAGTTTCTCAATTAAAGTAGTCTATATTTCTTATATATTGACTTCAAATGTGACCATTTTAAACTTGAGCTTGTGAGCTAATTGCAGCCTAATTGAACTATAGATACTACTATAGTTTTTTCATTGTTTCTATCACCGAGATAGTTCTTCGTTAAACAGTAAAATGCTGACCGTGTCATCTGAGAATAACGGAAAATACCTGAGTTCTAAGAAATAAGTAATGCTTGCTATGTACCGTTATTTTAAGTCAAATATTGACTTTTAATGTGACCTTATAAAATTGAACTCAGAAGCTATTAGCCGCCTAATTAAACTATGGATAATACAAATTTTTCCACTTCTTAGTACAACCCACATGTAAAAGAGGTAGTAATTTTCTTTTCAACTTTTGCTTAAAAAATCATTGTACAGTTATTATAGTAAGATTTGATGTTAAACGTGAGTTTTATTTACTTTGTTTAGAAACTAAATAAATATAGTGTTTTTTTGACTTCAGATAATATGCGATTAACAAAATATCTTCTTTTTACTTTGACTTACATAAGCTTTCAGTTATTAATTTCATTAAAATTCTTTATATCAACTTACCTCTTTGGACCTAAATTGTTGGGGAGCTGACAAATTGAAGCCATCATTGTTACCAAGGTGATTGTAACTTACAATTGACACTGGTTTGATACCAGCAGAAACTAAGAAGTCGACAAGAACTGATTTTATTTTTGTTTGTCCAGTCTTAAAATCATCTCCTCCAATAAAGGTCTCCAATTTTTCAGCGAGCTCAATAGCTCCAGGTACGAAAGTATTTTGTGGTGAACCATTTAGGTATGTACACTAGAAATTTTCAAGTGAGAAATAACAAATATCCAGTTTAATTAAAAACCTTTTTTAAATGATTAGCAATTTACCCCTTCTAGTGCCGAAGCAACAGAAAATAAAGTACTGGGACTTATCTCTGGGTGGCTAAGTTCAATTGATTTTAATAAATTATCAGCTGTATCGTTAACACCAGGAATAATCTCGACGAATCTCTCAGTGGTTGCAGTCCATAAAACTATTACTTTATCTAAATTTTTTGATACCTTAAAATCAGCTATATCTTTTCTTATAGAGTTTAACTGATCTTTTTTTGTACCTAAAATAAGGTTATTTGCTCGATACTCCTGCCAAAATATTTAAAAGTTGTTGATATCCTCAGCTGATATTCAATTTAGAATTAAATTGAAAATGATAATTTTTTCTCGAGAAGTACCTGGTTAGCTGCTATGAAATCGGAAAAGTAGGCACTTTTCCTGGGTACCATTTTTACCATAAAAGGTCTTAATTGATTTTGCAAATCAACATCTAGCACTTTGGCTCGCTCCATTGCATCGGCAAGATTCATGCTGGAAATATCCCAACCATCAACTTCGATGTCATCTGGATTGACCATTGGGAGCAGCCAAGATATCGGCACATATACGTCTTCATTTTCGCAGCTACCCAAACGCACTGTGGAAGCCTTGATCAAAGAACCGTACCTACATAATTAAATGATTAATGACATTAATAAAAGAAAATTTATTCTTAAAATGTATACATTAAATTAGAAGTATTCAGTTGTTAATCTGTGTAGGTAAGTAAGAAATAATAAAAACACCAATGACCCGAACGTGGTTTTATTCATAGCTGTAACATTTCGTCGAATATAATTTCTAACCTTATTAGGCTATGCAAAAGAAGATAAATCAGTCATTAGTTATCGAGAAAATTTAAACGTCCATTTTACAGTAATACATATACGTATGGAAATAGACAAGATCTGTGTACGTCGTATAGATGAATAGTCAGCTAAGAAGAGGTACTCACATAGCACCTAAATAAGCGCTCAAATGGTACTTAGAGACAAGGATTTACATGACAATCCAAACGAAATTTACTTACAGTGATCAATGACATTATATACAATTGCTTACGTGTACACGTAATTTAAGTTTGTGGAATGAAAAAACTATTGTAAATTTTTCTGAGTCCTAACGTATTCCTTTTTCTTTAAATCGTTGGGGTGGTAAAGTATAATTCTGCTACTAATTAGTCATGTTTACCAATTATTATTTATGTGCACACTTATGTATTTGAGATAGAGGAGAAAAATTTGGAAGTGAAATAAAAGCTATTCAGATATAATATTCCAATAACCATATACGTACATCTTTATTTTATTGCGTTCATAACTCTGTAGAAAGTTCGCTTGGATTTTAAGTTTCATCTTTAGTCTTTTTACATATTTTTATTACTATAAAAATGACGTTAAATTTTGTTGGCCAACTAATGATTGGTTTGTCCTCTTTTACACATTCTGATGAGGTTAAGAGTTATACTTGACAAAAGGTTGTAATGACAAATAAAATTGAGTTAAAAACATTGGTGTTGTTATTATTTCTAATTTTCTTAAATAAATGCATAAGTGACTTGTAACTCAATTTTCTTATTTTAAATATTTTACTGGGCAATGTCGTGAATACGACAAACACGAGAATATGAGAATCTACTTTATTAAGATTTAAAAATTTATTTTTTAACTATCTATAATATGAAACATTTAAGATATTTTGGAAAAATTATGGTAGGCAGGGCTTATTTGATGACATAATTTAATAACAAAGTTATTATGGAAAAAATAGATACCAATTAGCTTTTTGGATACCATCTTTTGTCTTCCATGAAAATTTGTGCTTGTTGGCTAGTAACGCTGCAGTAATTGTTGTGCCATTATTGCCTCCCCACCCTACCAGCATAACTCCTAATCTTGGCACTTTGATGTCTGTCCGAATATGAAGCTTCAATTGGTTAGGAATCACCTAAATGCAGTAAAATTTATATGTGATAAAATACTAACTATTTGTTGCAGCATGCATATATCAAAACTAAATAGTAGAAATGATAATTTTATTTCACAAAATTTTTGTATGTATTATTTTTTCAAATTGCTTTAATTATTGACATCATTTTTTATCATTTAAGACAAAGGATTCCTTATAGCTGTATGATTTTTTCGGATAAAATATTCCTTTTATGGTTTTTGGCTATTAAATATATTTTTTTAAACTACGAGGTATTTTTGAAAAAAATTGATAACTATAAAAAATTTGTATAAGTTTTCTTACAGCATTATATTTCAATAAAACATCAAATTATATTTATTTTTTATTATATAATTGTTTTAAATACGGAAAAAAATAGCTCCATGATCGTGGTACAAACGATGTTTCGAGTAGGGAAATGTGTATTTTCGTAGGGTATTACAGTAACTGACATTACCAAGAACGAATGTATGTAATGATACTGCAGCTTTTTTTTCACCGGGTTACCGCGACAGTCTATTGGCTTGATTATCAGGGCTATCCACTCACCACCTCTGTGTAGAGGTATATTGCCGCATCCACTTACCAATCCCTTATTCTGGTGGAAGACGTCAAAGTTAAAAATAATAGTTTTCGTCAGATAAGTGCCATCGTCCCCAAGGCTATTTTTCGGCCCGAGGGACGTAATGTAGTCGCGGTACGATGTCTCTTATGTGGAGAATCCTATTTGTTCTACTGAGGGCTCACCCGACTCTCGAAAACGCCCGAGGTCAGAAAAAAAATGTTTTCCAACCTCTGTCGTCTTTGAGAGGTTGGTGTGCCCTCGGTAGGAAAAATAGGATTCACCGCATAAGCGCCATCGCACCGTGGCTACCTTACGTTCCTCGGGCCGAAAAATAGCCTCGGGGACAATGGCACTTATCCGACGAAAACTACCATTCAACCATACTGCGTCAAAAGAAAGGGAAATAAAATTTCGTCTCTTGGCACATGATAGGTTAAAAATTATTTACACTTGACAGGAAGAAACAAAGAAAGCCTCAGATCATATTCTTATCAAATCTTGGCGAAATTCTCTTTGTAAAAGCGTTTGTTGGACAGGAGTATACTTATTGCGTAGTCAACTAAACTATAGATAGTATTTTTCTTTAAACTTGGCAGATGGTTCGAAAGAAAGTTTAATTTTTTTCTAGATATTTACTAGAGATTTTTTTTAATGAGCTAAATAATGAAATTTAATGTTTTTTGTGATAATGTTTACGTCAAAAAAATTAATTTTACTTCCAATTACCAAATTTTCAGTAAATTGAGAAATTGTTGTTATAATTATTCAATTTTGTTATAATTATTGGATGACATTTGAACTACTCTCCCCAGACGAGTAAACTACCAGTCTCCAAATCATCCATCACCAAATCTGCAAACGGTGGTGAGATTGAGGATTCTACAGGGATACAATAGATAAGTTTGTGTAATGTTTTTGTATATCAATTGACATATTGCAAAGAGTGCTTATATAATGCGCCTTGCGATCGATGCTGTTCACTAACTAATTCTAGTAGAATATTTGTAAATAAAGAGGTGATATCAAGTGAAATTAATTTGTGGTCTTTCGGTATTTTATAATTTTTGAACTTTTTAACTAATTCAAAATTTGTTTAAAAATGATTATGGAAGTTTTTAAAAATATTTCACACAGTTTATGTACAAAATATACATTGAACTATATAGATAAGTGGTACAATAGATTTTTCAACAGAAGTCAGAAATTACTTTTTGTTATGAAATGAATTTTCGATGTCTGTATTTTTTATTTTGAGTGCGCGTTGGATTTTTTAAATAAAATACGTTTTTTCATTATTTTCCAAAGTGGAAAATGTGTTTGGGAAACATGCCAGGCCATCTACATTTCAACGAGAACTTAATTGTGATTAAGAAATTTTTTTCAAGGCTTGGACCACGTTTTTATGAACTTGCGAAATTGACAGTTTCTGGTTTCAATAGCTACTACCACTTATGGGTTAATAACTCAAAATCGTGGATAATTCGAAGTTATTAATTTTGGACTTTATGTAGGTTAGGTCCCAATTATCGCTCATATCCTAATTATCGATCATTTTTCTTTATATCTTAATATAGAATTTTTTAAACATAAATGAAATGTGATTGGGGCATAAAAAGCTATTTTTTTAATGTAAATTCACCTTTTTATTCATTGAAAATATATCTTCATTACGTCTTCTTGAGAGAGCGATAGTTGAGACATTTACCTTAATATAGTTCACTGCTATAAAGAATCAAAACTACATCATTAATGCTTATTTGTTTCCCTACGTTTTGAATGGTAATAACGAGGGTATCGACATCGTGCCTTGAAAGTAATACCTTTTTTTGGGAAAATTAGGTGAAAGTATAGCTATGATTTTCATACGTTCAAGTATAAGATACTTGACTCCTATTTCTATTTTACCGATAAAAAACTACACTTAAGCTTTTCGATGAGTCTTTAAATTAAATGCCTCAAGTTTTTTATGTAAAAATTGGAATAACAATCCTTTTTTAATTTCACTGCTAATATATCTTACAAAATAAGTGCTTTGTGATAACTTTTATTTTTCTGGAGCTTTGATTTAATTATAAGTATTAAAACAAACAAAATTGTACTTTTTGTTAACTTGCAAAAAAAAAGTTTGACCCATTCCACAATTTTTTTCAACAAAAGCTTTGAATGCTAATAATAAAAACCAAATGATTGAAAGATAAATCTGGAGTACATATTGCGATTCTTGAGACAAGGCTATACCAGGAGAACTTTCAGTTTGCGTATTAATAAATACAAAAAAAGTACTGCATCAAAAAACTTAACATCCACCCCCAAGCAAATCGGGTAAAAGTAAGCTGTTATTTTTTTAATACTGAATTCTTTTAAACAATCAGTCAACTTTTTTATTCATATAATAGTTGCTTTTATTGTGATAAAGTTAAATAGTTGAGGTGATTAACTTCCAAATAAGAATACATCACTTGATGGAATACTTGCTATCAAAGAAGCAGTTGATATCACCTTTTACTTTTAAAAGAAATTAAAGAGATCCAAATATTTTAACGCATGTGACTGTAGGAACGTTAGTAAAAAACCAAAAAAATTTACCAAGAATTCACACCAAAAAAAACTTAACTTTTTTAATTTCAGACCACTACAAGATTCATTTTATTCGAGTATTTTAAAGAAAAATAAGAAATTTCTGTGAGTGTTAGTTTATTCGGTTCATACGTGGTCCTAGATCGAATAAATTTCGAAGTTGGAATCAGAACTCATTTTATTAAATGTTGAATACATATGAAATGAACTAGCTCACCCTGTTGTTGCGGTCCAATAAAAACCAATAAAATTTTACAATAGGATTTTTCTACTGGTTTCTTATCGGTATTTGCACCCGTAAATTCAAATAAAATCTGAAATGGTCAAAAATAGATTTTCTATATCATTTATTGTAACTAGGACATGATTGAACAAAAATAAATTGACAAAGTTATGTACCACCATCCGGATGGCAATACCAAAATGGGGGGATTAAAGTATTTTTTATGTAAATTGAAAGAAAAGTTAGTTATTAGTTTTTATTAGAATTTTGTAAAAAATATATTAGTCCCCCCGTTTTGAGGTTGCCATCTGGACGGTAGGATATTAATTTGAGTGATTATTTTTGTTCAATGATGTCCTGGTTACATTGAAAATCCATTTTTGACCATTACAGATTTTATCTGGGTTGACGGGTGCAAATACCGATAACAAACTAATAGAAAAATCCTATTGTAAGATCGATTAATTTTTTATTGGTTTTTGTTGGATCGCAACAACAGGGGCATTCATAATAGAAAGAGAAAAAACTATTGTAGACTAATAAAATAATTAAATTGTTAGACTCACCTTATATTCTGGGTCTGTCTTTTTGGCAGTGCGGATGACTTTCGTAGTTTGATATACGTACTCAGTAATGATAGAGTCTGCAGTATACTTGACTTTTGGTGACTCGACGCGAATCTTAAGAGAAGTCATTTTGAACAACAAACGATCTTTACAAACAGCGCTATATGGTGATTGACAGGGAAAAAAAGTATATAATAAAGTTAAGTCACAGTTAAATAGTGGTTAAGTATGAAAAGGCAAATAGTGGCATGGAAACACAGTAGGAACCAAAGCACGGTTATTTGGTGGCTCTTGAGTAAAATCTACTTGGCTGGCCTTTGAAGAGCAAATGGTAGCTGATTGCAGAAGTGGTAGGCACTTTAAAGGAGATTACTGGCTGCCCCTTCCAGTACAATCTATAAGGGGAAAGCATGCTTTGCCACGTGATCCTATGATAGCTCCTGAGTGCCTTTTAATTAATAGCAATTTTCTTGCTCGTCAGAATTGTAGAGGCTGTTTTTATCTTTTCTTTGAGTGACTTGAAAACGACACAGGATAAATATTTTATTGAAAATATCTTTTACTGCTCTATTTCTCGTGTGATATTATACTTTCCTTATAATATATCACTAAATAAAATTTTGACTTAAACCTTTGATTGAAATCATCTCTTAAGATGGAATAAATGATGTCTATACAGATCTTATTCTATATGTAAAAACTATCATACTTAACATTTTGTTAAGCCTAAGGCTTTTTAAAACACAGTTTAATATATTATGAATACCCAAATTTTACAATTTCTCTCAAATTTTTTAACTACATAAGTTACAGAAAAAAAAAATACTACTTTTACTATGGAAATTCGATCCAAATATTATATCGCAATTGAAAGCATTCTTATTATATATTTACTTTGTCGATTACGTGAAATCTTAAGATGAAATTGTATTTTGGAAAATTCTTGACAATCAAATGTTAAAAAAGTAACAAAAATTCTTCATGTTATACTTTTTATAAATTCCGAAGAAAATTTAGTATTTTTGTTAGTAATTTTTTAACGCATCATTAAATTGTTCAAATCAATTATAGGTGGATACAAAATTTAGTATGATGTTTATCTAATCTTGTTCGACTTCACAATACATATCGAAAAATTGTACATTTTTAAAGTATCTATATCACTACTATGATTATCACTGTTTATATGTATATAAACTGTCAGTATATCACTATTAAAAAGCTTTTTAAACGATGAAATATTCTATTAATCATTGAATCAACCAATCATGAGCGACCCGTAATAGGCGCTAGCAGTATTATTTTATTAATCATAAATAAATAAAGCGACCAGTAAGCACCCCAGGTTATGTGGTGTTAAGCGCTTGCATTATTATTTTATTAATCATCAACAAATTAAGTGACCAGTAAGTACACCGGGTCGTATAGGGATTGCTGCTTGCATTATTATTTTATAAATCATAAATAATTAAAGCAGAGAGTAAGCACCCTGGATTAATAATGACAATCGTTCGTAGTAATGTACAGATTATTTGAATCAATCATAATTTACTACCTCCAGAACGTTCTTGGCAATGGAACACAAGAGGATTAAATTACCGTGAGAGTTATGTGCGTTAAATGCGTGTGCGTATGGGTTCGTCGAATCTATTTTATTCTGTCCAGGTTTATTAGAAATTTTTGAAGTAGTTCTTAAAAAAAAAAAAAAGAAAATGTTAGTAGTGAGGTTCAGCTGAATGGATGTAATTTTTATTATTTTTTAGTTATGCCAATCAACTTTTTACTGAAATTTTATTATGCAGGGAAAACTGCTCATTTTGATAGTTCGAAACCGTAAGGCAATATAATCAATACATTGATCAATCTTACGATTAACATTTTCGATTCCGTAAGGTCTGAAAGATAATGTTTAAAAATTATGTTATCATGATAGTGGTGCTTCAAGATCAGAGTAACTTAAAAAAAGTGAGAGTTAAATAAGAAAATACTCTATAATCTTTTTCAAATATTGTAAAAAAAATTTGGGGACTCTTAAATGTGTAACAGAGTTTTATTTATAGAAGAAATGATGTTGTGTTCATACGTTTTTAACTTTTTTGGATAAACAAAGTCTTTTGTCAAATTTTGATAGAAATAAATAGTGACAACTTAATTTAACAAATACTTACTAGTTTTTCGGTATTATTTTAATCCACAGCGATGTTGGTACTAATGGACTTAACATTACAGATCTCTTTGCAGCGATGGTACTCCCTTTTGATGCAGCAAGAAATATATCAGTCACTTTAAGAAGATTTTTTTGGATCTGGGAAAAAAACGTAACCATGATTTACTACTTGATAGAAAAATTTGATGTTCTATTTTTCTACGTTACAAAAGCATTAGCTACGAAATTAATGAAATAACGAGCTGTTATTACCTTAAGTGAAACGTACAGAGCTCAATAATCTTGAAAACCAATCGTCTGCAATTACGTCAGTCAGTCGTTTCTAAAATGGCACTATATGTAGCACTACATGTAATAAGCAAAGGAATGTAATTAGTGCTGTATTATAAACTGTGAGCTTTAGCATGACAACCATTAGATGTAAGAGATTCCTAGTATCTGCAAATGTTCGACGCAGATCTTTTGGTAGTCCTCATTGAACAACTAAAAAATTCATCTTAATGGCAATGCGTTAGTATATCTATATGTATTGTATTTATAAATACAATACTCGTATTCAATGGCTAATCAAAGATCTTACGGGCACCAAATTAATATTTAGGTGATCAAAATGTAATTTATGTTTTTTAGCGTCTTTTTCTTAAATTTTTACAAAAATCTTGCAGGTCATTTCTTTTAAGTAAGAAATCAACCGTCGCGCGCCGTATTCAACTGATGAGTAGTAAAATGCCCACAAGTTTTTCTGTACGCACCATAGGTTCACAAAATTTTAACTAAATTATTTTTGGGTACTTATAATCTAATATGTTAAATTTTATCAAAATCTTGTAGGTCACTCAATGTACAACTGTACTACCTTGATAGTAACTGGGAATAAAAAATTATATAATTTAATTGTACGTACTGAACGTAACAACAGAAGTTTTGTTCCAAAAAAAAAAAAAAAAAAAAAAAAAAAAAAAAAAAAAAAAAAAA